TGGTTGGGCAAGACAGATAGATAGCTGTATGCTGTTGGTTCTGGTGCAGAGAATGCAGAGAGAAGAAGGGAAACACGTGCCCGGTTGCAATTAGTAGTAAATTTCTTGCTACTTGCTGACAAAGCTTGAATGTTTGCTCAGAAAAGCAGGTTGTTTCTTTGAAGAAGTTGGCTTACCTTGGGGCCTTTTCCTGTCCTTTTCAAACTTCCCTCTCTAGAGTATGACTATATTCCTTACTCATTCCTCAACTATTTGTTTTTCGTCTTGGATGACTGAACAAAAGTGAATTTGTCAACTTCTATTAGAATTAGATGAGGGGAGTTGTAGGTATAGAATAACCCCAAGTCCTGTCTGCTTGCGTTGAAGAGTAGTCACAAAACATCTTACAGGAGGAATGCCAGGACTTTAGAATTCAAGTTTTCCATGTTAAAATTGGTACTACTGACGTTGGAAATACCACCCCCTCCTCCCCACAGTCTCACCCAAATAATTCTAAAGTCAGACATGTTACTAGGCTTCCCGGTGCAGCAGTCCCAGATGGTAGTCTGTGCAAATAGGTGTTTGCTGATGTGAGTTGGAAGAAGCAATCTGGGGAGTGTCTGGGGACTTAACAGATGTTAACTACCTTTAGTTAGAGGTTGGTGAGTCTGCTGGGGCTGTGTAACATCTGCAAGAAGAAGTGATGCTCAGGCAGCAGGCTTGAGTAGACTCTTTCCTTTTTAATGGTGAAATGTAATTCAGGTTTGATATCTTCATAGCAATAAAAATGTCAGTAATGTTTCTAGTTTTAAAGCACTGGGAAGGGGTAATAAGCAGGGGAGGAGAAATCTATTAAACTGAATGAAAAGATTGCAAATGTTCCCAGGCATTACCAGCTGGCTATAGATTTTTCTTGGCTCTTGTTGCAAGCCCTTTGAACTATGTGAAATGCAAAGCCTGGGATGGCCCCATAAGCAAATTCTTTGAGTGAAAGGATAATGTTGTCAAAGCCATTTATGGTTCTTACATCAACTGAGCTGTAAGTAAAAGTGGATTTCCATGGCATAGAAATACCAGGCTGTGTGCTTTGCAAAAGGCTTTAGACCTAATTTACTTTTATCCATGAACTCCCTTGTGTGCTAGTGTCAGTGATACAGTCAGACAGCTCTCACTGTCCCTTGACAAGCATATCAAGTGAATGCTTGCGATCTGGAAAGTCAGTTGATGCCATCTGGTTCAAGTGCTAATGAGGCTGGTGGCATACTGGTGTCAAATGTTACCTTAACCCAAACAGACCCCATATGAGATGATGCTAGACTTTCCATATACCTTTCATGCACTGGCACGGTTGAATTCTTGAACTCATGATTCCTCAGGAGATTATCAGATGGTCTGTGCAGAAAAGCAATGGCGTATTCTGTACCAAGACCCTGTGCAGCAGTAGTACATGGTTAGAGTCAATGTGAAGAAACTCACATACTGAAGAGTATAAAATACCTGATTATTTCGTGTAGTAGCCCAAAATGAGAAGCAAGGGCTTTATATCCATTAGGCACTCTTGAGACTTGCATCTGATATTATAGCTTTCAGTGTTTTTTCCGTATAAATCCTTTTACAGACGTTTTCAGATATTTTTGTGAGGAAGGCTGATCCCTGTTGATTTCCCTTTGAAAAGGTGTGTTGATTTGTGTAGCAGAATTCTAGTGTGGCAGAACTTGCTTGAAGTTCTTGGTGGTGGTTGACCTGTCTTATATTAATGTGATAATTTGATGCATGATAGCATCATGTCTTGTTAGCCCCTTTTGAGTGTAAGTGGGAGCATCTAGAGAGTTTGAATGTAGTGATCCTCACACTAGGCAGTATTAAAGAAAATACTATCACTCCTGCATCGTGAACTGAAATATCTTTCCTATGCCTTTGTTTTTAGTAAATTTTGTAAGTGGGAGGCCTGAGTTTGGGTCTCTGTAATACCTGAAAGCCAGAGCCATGCTGAAAAGCTAGACCTTTCTCTGTTCATGGGATGTGCTTCCTAGGTCTCTAGAGGTGTATCAGAGCAACAGGAGAAAATATATTGATTACAGAAAGTCATGAAGTCTCATAAAAAGAAGTCTTGTGGTTAGGTTGTGGGGAGTGAGTTTTCCTGTTCTCCATATGGGCCTGACCGCAGCATTGATCAGTGTGAATGGTTGGTTGCTTTAACAAAGTATCTTTGCTGTGTCTCTTACTGCCTACCTTCAAAATGCTCATGTGGAAAGCCTGTGTTCTGCTAAGAGCAAGAAGGGACACAAGCATCTCTTTGTACTCGTGCTCTGTTCCCTGCAGAGAGCTACATTTAGAGGATTTTACTTATGTCTGGTGATCAAGAGGAGAAAGTTTGTTGGATTTGTTAGTCTGCAAGACCAGGGTATCCCCTCCTTTACCCTGCAGTTACTGTCATTCTTTTTTTTTCAGGAAGATCATTCTTAAGCTTAGCAACGAGCAGTTGCTGCTCAGTTTTGCTAAATGATTAGCAGGTAATGCTTTTCATTAGTGGGTACTGTGCTGCCATGTCTGGCTCAGTATTGATCTACCCTTGGAGCAGCAAAGCTAGAATTAAAACCAGGCACTGAAGAGGTTATTCTAATTTTAGAGATGGGAAGTAACAGAAAAAGCACTACTGCTGCAGTGAATGCTGCTCAGGAATTTTGTGGAAAAAACATCGACACCACTAATGAATGGGTCTTACACAGCTGCAGAGTTAACCTATGTTGCTGTTTCTGCACTGACCTTTCCAGCATACATCACATATATTGCACAGAAGGGGTGGTGAGGATAGTGCCCTCTGGGGCTGTGCTAAGGCGATGAGGTTCACATGGCTTCACGGTGGTCAGCTCTACAGGCTGTTTTTTACCAGGCATATCTTAATGTTGAATAAAATTTCCTTTTTTTTTGCTAAACAGTTATTGCCTGGTGAAGCCAAAGTGAATGGGACACAGCATTAACATTATTGTTGGGAGCAGAGGAGGGGATGCACTCAGGATGCCAGCATCAAGATCCATACTATGGAGGAATCATGCGTTTGCTGTACCTCATTATCTCTTTTGGGATTGTGCCCTGGGAGGCTTACGGGGAATGGTTAGTGAGGAAGCCTCTGCTTTCAAGAACTTGAACAGCATTTGTGATGGTCTGCAATAAGCTGAGCTCCAGCAATTGAGCTCAGATACTGACTTACTAATTAATGAGTTTGGATACTGGCAGTTTTAATCCCCTGTGAAAATCTGATTGGAAATGCTGCTGCTAACATTGGATGTTTTGCCAGGGCAAGGGGAGAATTAGGGCCTTGTCATCTTCTTGTAAGAACAACATTTTTAAATAGCCATTGTGTTTTTATGTTTAATCCTTTCACAGACACAAAGATAATGTCAACTGACTATGGAAAGAGTAGAAAAAAATGCCTGAAAGCTTCTAAAATATAACACACCCTCCCCTGTTCTCTAACAGATGACTTGTCACTTTTGTTTGTGGTTTTGGTTGGTTTCAGTCCAGGGCTTACCTATAGTTGTGTCAACATGGTGTTTGATCTGACCATAAGGGCAGGGTGAATGTTGGGTTGTGTGTTAGCCTGAGGTAGCTGGTCTAGCTGGTGTATCTTGCTGTATACCCTAGACTCTGAAGGGTATAGGTCAGCCATCCTTGCATCCCAATCCAGCAAGGGTGGCCGAAACACTTCTGAATCAGCTCTTGAAGTGTTACAGTTTCTCAGGCATATAAAATGCAAAATTAACTTAATAACCAACAGCTGTTGTGGCCTGATGATGGTTTAAGCTGTACTCAATGTGTTGGTATCCCAGATTGCAGGTAGTAGCCCAATTTAGATGATGCACTGTGTGGTTATACAGTTGGCTTTCTGGTAGGTGAAGGGGTCTGCACCCTTTCCTGTCTTTAGATGAAACAAAACCAAGTAGTTGCCTATTTTTCCCTTTCCTAGGGAAAGCACTTTCACTGCATTTCTAGTGTTTGCTGTTTGGTTTGTTTTGAACTCTGGCCATTTATGTTTATTTTTTATTTCTTTTCCCCCAGTGTTTAATCCTACCTTTTCTACTAACTTTCCCTGAAATGGCTCTCTTTCTCCTTGAATTCTGTTTCTGGCCTCAAAGTTATTTGCCTGTGTTTACAGGGAGAGTAGATATGTATGTAAATGGATGTTTCCTTTGCCATCGTAATATGATCTTCAAAGGCTTGGACTGCAGTCACTTTGCTGCATTCTTTACATCAAACGTTTGTCTTGGCAAGTTGCTGCCAACAGAGTGCTGCAAGGGCCCAATCCTGCTGATTGCATTCTGCTCCCGCTGAACTAATGGGGTTTGTGTGCATAAAAGTGAACTTCCAAATCAGCGTTGTGTGGTCGTGACACAGTTATGTTTATGTTGTCCTTACTTACGTAATCTGGAAGTGATCACCAGTTCTTAACTTTTTATACCATTTGGTGTGTGTTAAGATGCAGCAGTTCATAGCATGTTCCAGCCCAATGTGGAAACAGCGTGGTTTAGGAGAGGTTTGCCTTTATGAAGGTAGTCCATAATGCAAAGCTATGATACCTGCAGTACCTGTTTTCATCTTCTTGCTCAGAAAAGCTGCTCAATATGTGGAGTGCTGTGGGGGTGGCAGAGCAGGAGCTGTGGTGGAAAGGAGGTTGCTGCACACCCCAGGGCTGGGGAGAGGTTTGATGGGAGAGAGGGGATATGACATATGCCAAAGCAGTAAAAGAGTGCATCAGTACCATGTGTCATCACCTTGTATTGCAACCCCCACCACAGCATGGAACGCGCAGTGAAGTGGACCTACACCTCCCACAAAAGCGGGTCAGTAGGTGGTAAAGAAGTGAACACGTACACATGATCCTATTACTTTCTCTGTTTCCCTCAGTCTAAAATCTTTTTTGTGTTCTGATACTTTTTTGGGACTGTGGAAGATGGAAAGGAGCCTCCTGCTACTGTCCATCTTCCAGTGAGAAGTCACAGACCAGAGTATGTGACCCAGGCTCACGTCCTGCTGGGTGCTTACTTACAACAAGACCCCTCAAACCTTAGCTGAGGAAACTTGGAGGAGGAACACTGGTGTGAGTAGGGGTGGGGGGATGGGTGGTTCACAAGCCTTTTGTGTAGAAGCAGCTTATCAGAGCTACAGTCTTGCAAATATAGCAGCTGTTTCATTAGAGTGTATTAATTGGTGTAGTCGTAAGTGGTACTGTGTATTTGCCCTGGAAGTTGAGGGTGAAGCCAGTAATATCCGTTAAACTGCTACAACAGAAGGAGGTGTTCTCAGAATTCTCCTTCTCACCATTAGCTGGCATCATTCTTTTCCTGCCCTAATGTATGTGGAGTACCGTGGTTTACTCAGCGTTCAAACTAGTCTAGCTGTTTAAGATGAAAACCACAACTGTACAACTATCTGGGAGCCAGTGAACGATTTCTATCTCCTCTTTTTCCCTTCCTGTTGACACAAAAGGTGATACTGCAAGTTGTTAGAAAAACCAACCAACCAAAAAAAACCCCAAACCCCAACATTTTGTGAAGCAGCCTGCCATGTGGATAATTTAGCGTTTTTGTTACTGTGGAGTTTTGAGACTCAGCTCTCAAATAGTTCCATGTTTACTCAGGAATGCTACAGCCAATTGCAAGAATGGAGAGAAGGGGAGAATGTGTCAATTATCTGCATAAGATGTTCATGTTTGGTGCCACATTTCATGTGTTTTTATATCCACTGAAGCAAAGTAAGGAAAGTGCTGTGCTGGGGCAGTGTGTGTGCATGGCTTAGAGCTGAATAGATGGAAATGGTTAAAAGGGGTTCTCTGCTAGAGAGGAGGAGGGGAGAGTAAGAGTGCATTCCCAAAAAAGTACATTCCCAAAATAAAAGGCTTACATCATGGACCTCTTCAGCTTTCCCACACTTCTTTCCTAATTATTGTCCTGCAGGACAGCTGATCTATTTCAAACAGGAAGCTGTTTACAGATAACACTTGCAACTGTTTTGTCTGATTTGTTGAACTGTCGAAAAGCAAAAGACAACCTCTTTTCAAATTAAAAACTGTCAGACTTCTGTAAACAGCAGCAATGAGGTTCATCTGTGCAGTGTCCCTGCAGGCACAGAGCGTTCTGCAGTTCCCGTTTTCTCAGGAACCATAAGGTAAGAAACTTTTTACTTTTGCTCTTTAGAAGCACGTAGAGGAAAAAGCCTGGGTGTTTGTTAGGGGGCTGCCTTGTAAATAGCAGAATATGATTGATGATCCCCAAATAGTAGGGGAAGGTAGGAAAAATAAGAGCTCACTCAATTCTATGGGTTAACATTGGACCTTTCTGTTGGGAATCGCCCATGGTCACTGAATTCCTGTCTAGTGGAGGGTTTGTATTTAAAATGTATAAATGCCATTGGAAGAGCTCGCTTTCCTTTGTGCAGGAAAGGACAAAACAATATATGAATTTTAACTTTCCCTTCAGCTGAAACTTAACTGCAGTTCATTATTACTCAGTTCATAATTATTAATCCAGTTCATTAATGGATTGCAATTCCCAATAACAGGTAATCAGTATCAGTTCAATTTTTTAAATGGAAAATGCTTTTCTCTATTCTGTTACTTTTATTCCTAAGCATCTGGCTGTTTTCTACTTTAGAATTGAGCTTTTAATACAGCTGCAAAGCAGGGAGTTATGACATATTGCAGAAGTGAAACATGACAGAAGATCTAGTAAGGGCTGAAAATACACCACTGGATAATTAAGAACAAACTCAGTGAAAACCCAATCAAGTTGGGAGTAGTAGTATGCAGGAATGCCTAAAGAAATTTAAGGATGTGTAAAGATCTAAAATCATGGTCTAAATGAGCTGGAGTATGAGTGTAAGCTGTTCTCTAGTAACCAGAAGGCCACATGCCTGCTTTTCAGTCATAAGGTATGAAAAAACCTGTGAATTTCCATTCTGACTTCTGTGCATACATACATGTGTGTTTGATATAGACAGTGAAATTTAGGAGGGGGATTGTTTCCTAGAAAAAGTCAAATCACTGTGGTGAACTGAAATACCCACCTCCCCTTGCCGTACAGTGAAACAGCAGGAGCCTCTGGACTGGAAGTACTACAACTTTGATCCTTGGGTGCTGTAAGATTTTAAAAATACAGCAAATGTAGAAACTATTGCCCTGTACTTCTCTCTCTCTCTGTAGTGGAGATATTTTGTGTTTCATATCTGTGTGATTGTTTGCATGATTGTAATTCTTGAAAGCATCATAGTGATCAAAGAATATAAAAAACTCACTGATACAAGGGTCTCACTTATAACAATGATTTTGGGATCTTTTAGCCTGTGGCAACTCATTAAACATATCCCTAAAATTTTATTATGCTACTGATGCTGCATAAATAAGGTATGGAGATGTATGGGCAAGAAGTAATACTTCCAAGTTGAGTATTCCTTTAAAAAATGCTTGGGCTGTCATTCAGAAAATTTAGATGTATCTGTTAAAAATGAAAATATTTTTTAAGTTAATAAAATCACAGAATCATAGAATAGTTAGGGTTGGAAAGGACCTTAAGATCATCAAGTTCCAACCCCCCTGCTATGGGCAGGGACACCTCGCTGTAAACCATATCACCCAAGGCCTTGTCCAACCTGGTCTTGAACACTGCCAGGGATGGAGCATTCACAACCTCCCTGGGCAACCTATTCCAGTGCCTCACCACCCTAACAGGAAAGAATTTCCTCCTTATATCCAATCTAAACTATCTAACTTAAATTCATAGTTAAAAACAGCATTTTAAACATGGCATAGTCCTAAAGTCAGCAGAGAAGTGCACTGTGGAAGCAGCAGAAATCTACTGTGTAATTTACAGATTGTACATTATGTTGAATGCTGTTTTTTTTGATTACTTTTGAGTGATTTTACACTGTTTCTGTAGCTCTTATTTAGTCATCTTCAGGGCTGTCCAAAAACTCTTGAACGAGAATCCTTTGAAGTGGGAAGGCTTTTGGCAGAGTAGCTTTTTAAAGAAAAGTGTCAGTTTGCCAGAGTAGTTCAGTTCTTTTGTCAAAGTATTTTGGCTGAAAACCAAAAGAGTTTAGCCAAAAATACTCTCATGGTGTCTCCTGGGAAGTGTAGTTTGTGCTTTGCATTACATTTCACTACTGGCAGAAGTTCACAGCTGAACCCCTTTTCCCATAAGGCCCTGTGGTCAGGATCTTGCTATTTTCATTTCCCTTGGTGAGGGGAGCATTAGAATGTATTTTGGGAAAAGTAGTCTAGTGAAAGAAGAATTACTGGGCTTGTAAGGCATCAGCTGTAGACAAAGCCTCTCGGATTACTGGTCAATAACTGGCAGCTTAAAATTTGAGCACTTCCTTCTGTTTGCGGGCCTGGAGAGTAGGACCCTTCAAGAAGATTAGTATGTCATTAGAAGAGTTAAAGCCTTTTGATGGTTTTTAGCCATGGAAACACCTGTGCAAGGGAGAGCACATTTAAAAATGTTTCTAAGGCTTTCTTGGTGCTTCTGCAAACTTCTATTTCCTGAAAGTACTCCTTTTTTTTGTATTTTGAATTTAAAGCTGCAAGGGGGTATGGCTGGATATTAAGAGTTAGGCAAACTCTTAATTCAAGAGGAAAATGACCCAATAGGAGCCTCAAGCTTTAGAAAGAGGTGGTTTTGAAAATCCATCACGTTTTCATCTTGCCCATCTAAATGCCTCATGAGAAAAATCTATTCCTGAATGATTTATTTGCTATAGTTATAGGAGATGTCTGCAGTTAAAAAGAGAATGGAAGTCGGTCTGCTTGAGTTCTTCATCACTGGACCAGTCTTATTTGTTTATTAGCATCCAACAATCCTTAGCTGCTGTGACTGTTTAGATGTTACTTCCTAAACTGCATCAGAAGATTGGTTAAGTCTATAGGGTGTCCCAGAGGCCAGAACAGGGCAGTAAGATGGATGGTGAGGAGTTTTAGGGTTTATATTGTTTTCCTTCTATACTGAATTATAGAATGACTTGGGTTAGAAGGAACCTTTAAAGGTCGCCTAGTCCAACAATAAAACACATTCATACAGTTTCACAGTGTTGCAAGTTAGATACCTGACTCCAGAATAAGAATTAGCAGTGTTTGCATGCTGTATGGAGTGAATGGAGGAGAATGAAGTGCTGAAGAAAATGACTTGCCACAGCCAGCAGTGTGTGATGGCCACAGCAGCTATCTGGAAAATGTTTGTGAGGGAGATGCTCCGGGATTCACTCTGCTGGATGTGGGAGTGGATAAATTCACTAGCTTTATTGCCAAGTGCCTGCAGGAACTTGAGTTCCAGAAGCTGTAACCTCAGCTTGGTGCCCAGTTGTCCTACAGGCATGGAGACTTATAAAACTGGCTGTGAGAAAACAGGTTTCTACCATTCTTGTTGAGAAATGAAAACTGCTGCTACCCAGCTGTTGTGTAATAATGTACTGGCTGGGAGCACTTTCCTGGAAAGCAGGAGCTCTGCAATGCAGCTCATTGCACTGCTTCAAACCCCACTTCCCATCTGCTGGCAAGTTGCCCTTGTTCTAACTGACATGGTAATTTGGAAGTGGGACCACTGAACATCTAAGATTGTGTCCACAGTTCCCAAGACAGTTTCTGATGTTGATAGTGCTTTGATTTTAGAAAAGAAAAAGTCTGAACAGTTGAGGGAAATATGTTCCTTGGAAATGGCACTGTTTTCTATTAACTTTTCTGCTTATAGTGCGCTTAGTGGATACTGAAGGAGTTTGGACATGTTTCCTTGATGGGCATAAATGACCTATGTGGAAGAATAGTGTCTTGTTATGCCCTTCAGGCAATATGTCGGCCACCTCTGGTCTGTGAAGTAAGAAAAGCTTAGGCACTCAAGTAAGCTTTCTGCTAAAACTATAGGCACCTTCTGCTTTAAGATTGCTTAATTGTTGGGAGATGGTTTTGGATGCTTTACTTGGACTTGGGAACAGGCCATAGATAAAGATACAGTGCTAGTATTGCCAATAGTAACTTAAACATCTCTCACCTGGAGATTTAGGGGTGAAGAATGGAAAAGAATGGAGAATGGAAAGAGAAATTTCTTCAGTTGTGGCTGGTTTTTGAGTGGGATCTTGAAGAATGAAGCTGTGTCCATAGCTGTGCTCAGGTTCCTGGTGTCCATCTTTGCTACTAAGCATTGATCACTTTGTGATAATTTTTCTTTTGCTCCTGTTAGTAGGATTAGCTAACTGTGGAATAAGCATAAATAGTAACAAGAAATCCTCTGGATAGCACTCTTAATTTTCAGTTTAATTTGAGTGATTTTCAGGCTTAGTTGTGGAACCCTTCAGATTTGCCTATGATGGTGCTGATGATTTCAGCAGGTATTGAACCTTGCTGATAATAGGCATGCATTTATTCATCTTTAGTGGACTCCTTAGAGTGTGTGGGCCTCCAGGTGACCACAGATCATGGGTTGATTTGCTCTCCAGCTGGGCTGCATGCTGGAGCAGTCTGCTGGTTTCTGTGCTGTGAGGGCTGGACAATGAAGCTTACATGAAATGGTTTGGCTGGTTAACAAATGCACTGCACAGAGGCTGAAGGGTTCAAAAATCATTCATCTTCACTGAAGAAGGCACCAAAATAACTTGTATCCATTTAAAAAGGCTTCACAAGCACTTCTTTAAGTGATTCTTGTACACCAAAGGCTGTTGATTATCTTGGAGTTCAGGAGAGACAAGAAAGCATGGAAGTCTTTGTGAGGACATTAGTTAATGTAAGTAGAATTTTATGATTATCATCAGAGAAGGATTCATAAGAGATCATCTAATTTAGGGAAATTAAAGAGCTTTAAAAATAATAGTATGAGAAGTTGCTGGCAAGGTTAGAAGGCACAGTAATCGTGGCCAATCAAAATATAAACATCAGGCAAGAATGTAATGAAAGGCAGGAAACAGCAAAAAAGCCTTATTACATAGGAAAAGAAAAGTGTCTCTCAATGAGCTCTCCCATCAGAATGGTATAATGAGAAAACAGGTCTCTGATGGCTGAGTGGTTAGTGGAGTGCAAGAAATACTAAGGAAACAGATACTGAGAACATGTGTCAGAGCAAGAGAAGTGCTGCTTACTTGTTCTGAGGAGATTCCAGGGTGGTAGATCTGTCAACTGCACCAACAGATGTGTTTGCAGTGTTTCTCTCTAGTCATGTGATGTACTTACAGTTTAAAGCCAACGCAGAGATGAGGTGAGGTGACGTTATGAGAGCCATGTTATGAGCTTCAGCTGACAAAACTCGTGATTTGGAGGTTTTCTTCCTTTGCTGTTTAGTACCTTCATGACAGAACTGCTTTTCGTGTAACTGTGAAGCGCCAAAAACTCTGTAGTCACTCTCTGCTCTCCTTTCTTTTTTTTATGAATGTTATATAAACCCCTCATGAATACATGAATATATAATAGTAACTTACAATTAGATACTTCAAAATTAATTTAAAATCCATAGACAACATACATAGCTATTTGCTTCTGTCTACTTCATTTAAAAAGTTCTGAACGTAATCCTAAATCTTAAATCTTCAAGGGAGAATTACCGATTTTTAGGTACCATTTTTCTTTCAACTTTTCAAGGGCAGTCCTAGGTGTATTTCTTCACAGAGCATTCGTAGATAATCTTTGCTTGTTTGGTTGAGGAAATAGCAAGGAGGAAGCTGATTTTTCTAAAGAAGTCCTTGAGGTGTTGTTCTTGGGTAGAATGTGAGAATTTCTACCAGTTTCCAAATATCTTCATGTCCTGAGTATCATGTCTTCAGAATTATTTAAGCTCAAAATGTCTATGTGTTGTATATGGACGCAGCTGTATTATCTTCTTAACTTTTGTGGAGATAGGTAAATAGGTGATGTTCCAGAAGTGCTCTAAATGGCCACTCATTTTTATGCAGACTGTGCTCACTGTTGTGTCTGCTTCCACAGTGCAATAGGTATAATGGGAACTTAGTACACTGTTGAAAAAGACTGCTCTCTATAGATGCTAGGGCAGTTTTACTGTCAAATTGAAACCCTCTCATCTGAAAAGAGACCAGCTGGGCATTGCAGGTCTTGCAAATCCTGAGTTTAGTTTCTGAATGGTACGTACCAAGCTTGTGTAAACAGCACCAACTTGATATGCTGAGGGAAGTTGTTGTATCAGCTGCAACAAGGTGTGTGTCCTTTCATGTAAAACAATCTGTTGAAACTTGATGCTGGGATCTGTCGACACTTGATGTTGGGATCTGTCAGATGCTTTATAAATGATTCTGCTGTATTGAGTTTGGCTGAGATGGAGTTAATTTTCCCCTATAGCAGCACTAATAATGCAGTGCTTTGTATTGGTTTCTAGAAAGGTGTTGGTAACATGTGAGTGGTTTGGCTACAGCTGTGTAGTGCTCGCACAACATCAGGGCTGTTTCTCCAACGTTCCCCTCACCAGTAGGCTGGGGTTGGGCATCTTGGGAGGGAACACAGCCAGGACAGCTGACCCAAACTGGCCAAAGAGATATTCCATACCATGTGATGTCTGCTCAGCAACAAAAACTAAGGGAAAGAAGCAGGATCAGGGTATTTGTTAGCATGATGTTTGTCTTCCAGAGTAAATGCTATGCTTAGGGCAGCTGGTTAGATGAAAGGACTTGAATTAAAAATTTCCAAAGGGATTTGTCATCCTCAAGAATCTTTTGATAGCAGAAGCATTATGGTATACAGATAAGGGAAGTAATGCCTTCAGTTTATACGAATTCAGAGAAACATCCTTGTTTGCAGGTTGTATTCTACACGTTCTGTTTCTTTCAGATTTCTCATTTCTTTTTCCACATGAGATGAGATTGTCAGAAGCATCTCAAACCTGTATGTGATCACTTGTACTCTTTTCTCAGTTTTAAAAAATATTTGTACACCATGCATTGTACATGGCAAAGGATTTCAAATGCATGTGTTGTGGTATATATAAGAGCTGCTCTGGGGAATGTTTTGCTCCTGAAAGATGTTCAGCCTGGTTTCCATTTGGTGTACCTTTAAAAATAGGATTGTGACTGTTGCCAGTGATATAGACTGATGAGTGAAAGTCTGCTGTAGCATACTAGTGTAAGAATACTTCAGTTTCTGAGAACTAACTTTGTCTAGTCATCTGCAGGAATATACATCTTTGCATGTGCTTTTACTAAGTCCTATTAGACCCATAGAAACCTGTTTTCTTTCACTGTTTTTCTTCTACAGCTATTTCTATGTACCAGCCATATGATTTCTCTTAATCTAGGGAGTCACTTTGGTAGGTTTCCATTCCTTTTGTTTTCTTTCCCTTATCTGTGCTTAGAAAGATGTTTCAAGGCTCTGAGTGAAAGGACGTTGTATAGTTCTGTTGCTATCCAGCTCACCCTTCACTTGTCCAGTGAAGATATGTGGTTGTATTTCCTGTGAGGCTTTCTTCTGATGCTCTTACTTTTTCTGTTAGAGTGAGGCTTGGCCATTTTACTGGAAGTATTGTTGGTCTTTGTGTCACTAATATAGTTTACTTTCCTCCTTTTCCCTGGTTCCTGTGAGCTGATATGAAAGTTTCAGTATAAAATCACATGTAGAGTGTTACTTGGTCTCTGCAGATCCTCAGCCTGAGAACAGAAATAACCCTTTGTTGAAATTGCATTGACACTGCTGCAGTTCAAATGCAAAATTTTGATCATGCATGCTTTTGCACCATGGTGCTTTGTTATATTGAGGGTATCATTCTGAGAAGTATGTCCTTGTCATTTGAGGATAACACTCTTGGATCATGTCCATGACTTTTGGTGGCTTGCATGCCTCATATTGTTCTGTTTCCAATGTTCTGTATCTTTTGCTGGATATTATTTTCCATTGCAGCCTGGTGTTTTGCCGTATCTTTCCTCCTTTTAAAATGTTCCCACTGTAATTATGTGTCCCCCCCCTCCCCCTTTCTTCCCTGGTGTATTTAGTCCCTTTAATTCTTTCACTTGCGCATCTTTCTGTTTTCTGTATGCTGCTGGCATGTGAAGGCAGTTTTGTAACACACTGAAGGCCATCTTGGCTGCTGGGAAGGGCATTTCTTTCCCTGACTGGCAACATTTGTCACAGGAATGATGGCCATGTTTCCCTCATCAGGAACCAAGGAACTAAATCAACTGAAACACATTAAAAAAGAAGAATAGCTTTTTGCTGGCGTAGTGGCCTGTGCTAGCTCACGATGGGATCAGATGGTGACAGTACAGAGAGGGGGAGGGTAACATGTGACTGCAGCGGGGGAGCTAGGCTGCTGTTAGCCCTCCCATCGATTGGTTTAGCTAATTAGCAATGGTGGGACTCCCCTAACCTAACTTTATGTACCTACAAGGCTGAGCTAGTCATTTTTGGCAATTAATAGGTACCTCCAGAGTCAATTCTGATCTGTTTTAGGATGAAATGAACACCCATGTCAAGGTGCCTCTCTCTGACTTATACAGGACTCTCAGGGTGACTTTCTCAGACGGAGCACCCAAGACAGAATGGTTAAATCCCACCCAAAAGTTTGCTTATAATTTCTACTGTCTTGAGATCTGGATCTAAGCAAAGTTGTCCCAATAAACAGGCATCTTCTAATGCTAGCTGTGTTCTGTCTTGTGGCTCACTTTTTGAGGTGTCATACTTGCAGCACTGGGGAGGACTGGGCAGCAGTCAAGTGGCTTCTCTTTATTCTTAAAAGCTCCTTTAAATGTAGCTGTCATGTATCTCGTGAAAGAAAATGGGGGCAAAAGCTGTCTCTGCTCTGTTTGCTCTCTTCAGTGAGGACTAGGATACTGGCACAACCAAAACCAATCCTGTCTCATATCCATTTGCACTCTGGGATGGACAGCCTTCCCTCTGTCCTTTGCCACTCTCCCCTGGTCAGGCCTCTGTTTTTTCGCTTTTGCTGTGTGTTTGTCCCAGTGGCAGTCTGCATCCTATGTCTTTTCTCTAGCCTCATAAATAGCTTTGCTTAGCTTTTTGTCTTCTGTCTGGGCATTCCTGACCTTTCCATCTGTTTATACATAAGGCAGTTGTGGTCCATTAAATAAGAAAGCAGGGAAGGAAGAAAACTCATTTTTCCCCTTTTTAGTCTAATGGCCTACCACTACGCTTGAGCTGGCTTCTTCACCAGACCTCTTCCCTGTTTGCCTTCCATTCTTCAGTGTGGCATGCCTGAGTGTAGTCTAATTGTACCTTCTGCATCCATCCAATAGGAGAAATTACTGTCAGGGGGAACTGGAGCTTTGGGGTTAAGATTCTTTTAAGTTAAGTATGTTCCGTAGCTGGTACTTTTCACCTTTTGGATCAATAGTTGAGTGCCATTTCTGTTGTGCAAAGGCATACGCTGCTGCTGACATGTTTGGGGTGCTTGCATGGGGCCTTCCTAGACCTTTCTGTCTCTTTGCACCTCCAACAAAGTAGCAGCAGGACTGGGACCACCCTCCACAGTTCACATTTGCCTACTGAGCCTATCCCTCAAGAGTGCCCTCAAGAAGACAGCTGTCAGGCCCACCTGAAAAACTTCTAGGTACCTGGAGGGTGAGCACATGATGGCAAGCAAAAGTTGGTTGAATGGACGTTAAGCACTTAAACATTGCACAACTGTGTCAACTTCTGCAGCCATTCCTAAGCCTCTGTGGATATGGAGGGCTGAAAAGTGATGCCTTAAAGCTTCAAAAATAAAATGACAAATGCATATGTAAATAACATTTATTCGCGTAAAGAAATGTATCCTGCAGCATTCTCCACCTCATTCACTGGTTCTTACTGTATCCTTTGTGTTTTAGTTCCTACATACAGGTGTGTGGGGATAGAGTCAGGTTGTATGTGGGTGCTTTGTAGGAGTGGGGCTGAACTGAGACAATTTAGACACAGGTTTTAGAACCGACCCCTGTATTTTTTTAATTTTGGGTTGGTTAAGAACACTGAAAATTTGATCTAAGGACCGTACCCAAAATCACAAACTATTTCTGTGAATTATAGCTGAAAATGAGGCTATGGCAGAGATCTTGTAATCTAATAAGGGCTTTGGGTAAAACATATCAGGAGAAATTTTGTTTGGCATTTCCAGTTATCTCTGGCTGACGTTTTATACAAATCTGAAATTCTACTTGAGTGTTATTCTTTACCTAAACATACCGAGCTATTGTGAGAGATTTGACACTCAAGTCCCACTGCCCTCTAGTTTCAGGTTTTGAAAACATACTTGTCCCCTTCTGGAACTATTTTCATCTCACCCTTGCTGAAGCCCTGATTTTATGTTTTCAGCACAGATGACAGTAAGTTAATTCTGACATAAACTCATTGACTTCAACAGAAATACATCAGGAAGAAAGTTGTCTCAATTTAAAAAAAAACATTCTTCTAGGTGAAAAGTGGATCTACTGTTCCTACGTATGACAAGGGCACCTACGTTGTACACTCAGAACTAATAGTCCCTTGCACTTCACAAACATTGTCTGAGGAAATAGCTCTGTTGAGCCAGAATTAAGTGTACTTTGGGGGGTAACATCAGTTAGGTTTTCAGGTCATGTTAGCTTCCCATCAGCTTACACTCACTCTTTTGTCCTCTGCAGCAAACCTTGCTGTTCTTCAGCATCATCAGTACCTGAAATGTGTTATGTCTCTGCTTTATGCTACTTCATGCTCCATAGATTTCACAGAGACTTCATAGCCACTGCAGTTACAATCCTTGTTTTTGCAATTCTATGCTATTAACATTTAGGGATTATATATATATATATATTCTTATCTTTCATGCCCATTGCTTTAACCTTTAAATCAACACATAGAATTTAACTTCAGAGCATTGCAATGGTATGAAAATAATCACCCATAGTTTTAGCAGCTCTATCACTGTTTCTGTTTTTTTATATTCTAGCTAAATAGTGAACTCCTGATTACCCAAGGTAATGCACAAAGGAGCTCGGAGGACAAATGAGATGAAGTAAAAGCGTAGCTACATAAAACATCTGTAGGTTAGGATTATCAGCAAGGCTGTAATGGGGAAAGAAGAGGTCAATGACACAGGTTTCATCTCCAGTGTGAAAGGCATCTTCTCCAGGGAATGATCCGCAGCCTGAGGCCAAGGGGTGAGAAGCAGCTTGCATGCACAGGCTGGAGGCTTGTCCCTTCTGTGCCTCCGTGGTTTCCCTAGAAACATATCCCTGATCTGTGCTGAGCCCTGGTGGTGTTACCCTTGCACCCATGGGGCTTAATCTTGGGGGTTTTGGGGGGGCTTTTGTCTGTTCAAAATGTTTGAAATAGCGTGAGGTCTGTGTCACAGCCTGGCATTTCACTGGCATGATTGTGTGGGTATGTGTTGCATCTGTTAGGATGAGGCTCTGGGCCTGCTGGGGCATTTGAGGATACACAGGCTGCCAGATAGTTCTGGGAGGTGTGGGGATGCAGATGACGAGGACTGGAAAAGTCAAGAGAGTGAAAACTGTTGAAAGCTGTTGATTCATCTGTAGTGCTGACTCAAACCCGCTTGGGAAAATCACCCACCAAATGGCTGTGGCTCTGCAGATTTTTGTGCCTGCCTGTACCAGGAACGTTCACAACTCAGAATATACATAATTCAGCTCAGATCCCTGAGAATGAAGTATAGCTTAAAAAAAATCATGAGTGAAAACAGCTTAGTGATAATGAAATAAAAACAGATCCAAGAGGAGCCCCTTAGGATTATACAGCGGATAACAGCTACTCCGTAGCTGTTGGCTTGCTGAGCATTAATGCCAGTGAGCAGCATTTTCCTTCTGCATTTCTCAGCCATTTGGATTCAACTGGGCAGATTATCTGTGTTGTTGCTTCTAGGTCAAAAATAACAGTGTGCAATAAGCCCCCAGCCCTTGTGGAACAGGGTCTTCCATCATGAGGTGTTTGCTGGCTGAAGTGATCTCCAGCCTTTCCATTCACAGCTTGTGGTGGAAAGCTGGGGAGCTCAAGGAGTGCTGGGTGCCAGCTGCCTGGCCCATCCTGCAGCAGTTCTGAGTGAGCCTACAGTGCTGTGGGGATTCTCTGACCTCTCAAGGACTTATTTCAAGCTCTTCTGTCTTGGCAACTGAGGCAGATCTTTTTAAGGAAAGGCTATGTAATTGCTTCCTTTTCCTCTTCCTTTTTTTTTTTTTTTTTTTTTTTTTTAAAGCTTTCAGCTTATGCTGATTTAATGGCCACCATTGTTAGTGCTGCAAATTTGACTCCTGACCGCTATGTAGACAGAGAAAATATTCATACTTTTACCAGTGCTCAACATCTCTGGGTTTCTCTCTGGCACTGGTTTCCTCAATGCTGAAGATAGTCCAAATACCAGAGCTAAAATTGTGTTTGAAAAAGCAGGCTGGCACCTTTTTCTGAGGACCAATTTCAGTGGGATTTAGTTTTCTAAATGCCTTTCTGAATCTGGGGCTGAAAGGACTTGAAGGTAGGTCAGAAAGGCAAGGAATTTTACAGGATTTTAAAATGAAAGCTGCTGCTGTAGCACATACCTGGAGATCAAACGCTTATTTCAATCATATAAGGTAATTTTAACTGCAGAAGAGAAGGTTTCTTTTTAAAGCAGGAAAAGGCAGAGAAGGTGATACCCAAAGTGATTTTGGTTTGATTTCTACTCTTTACTGCAGCTGCAGACTCTATAAAGTATTTGATCTGCAACCTCTTCAGAGGTTTCCTGTTAGTGGCTCTTCTCAGACCAAGGTAATTTCCCAAGTATTCATGAAGGTCTGGGTGTTGTGACCTGACTGACACTAAGAAGCTCCATTTTATAGAACAAGTCCATTTTCTCTGCAAGTCCAGTTATCATGAGATAGGGTGAGGAGTATCCCCTGTGTCTCCAAGGCTCTTAAGACTTGCAGCATCAGCAGGTGGTGGGGAATGTGATGAAGCCTCGTTGGAGGTTTTGTTTTCCCCAGAAGATCCTTCATAACTGGCTGCTGAGCAGAGCTACCAAGCAGCCCTGACAGTTCTCTGCTGCTTCATGCCCGTGTCATCTCTGAGCTGTGTAGGAGTTAGCAAAGGCAGGTTAATATTTAATGTACCTGGAGGCTTTGATGTTTCAGCTGTAGTCTGGATACCTCTAAAACCTCATAAAATGCAACCAGAGGAGGTGTTGCTGCCTTTTTATTCACTAATGCAGTCTGGAGCACCCTCCTAATTTCAATTCCTTCTTCTGTCTCCTTTGACTTGTTTGTTGAGAATCGTTATCACCAGCCTGCTGGGTGCTCATGCTGAAACTCTAGGCTTTCAGCTGTGTATCTGAAGTGCTTTGCTTGAAAGACTCTTTGTCTGATCTTCTGGGTCCTGAAGTATCTCTGCTACAAAGGAATAGTGGGATACGTGCCTAGGATGTCTTGCAGGCTGGTGGCCAGGTGATCTCCTGGGCTGTGGTGTGGGAGCTGCAGGCTAAGGCAGGCAGGTCCTCTCTTTGCTCAGCCTACAGAACGTCAGTGTGACTGTCGTCCAGGATGGTCCCACTCCCTGTCCTTCAAAGTTTTCCACTATTGAGGGTTAAAAACCTACATTCAGGTGTCAGGAAGAGACAACCAGGCACAAGTTTTCTCCTGGCTGGCTGAGATAAACACATACACTGCTTTCCCACATAGGGAGCATTGGTCCTCAACTTGGGATTGTGAAGCCTTTTGTTGCCATGGATCTCCTCACTTTCAGTCTGCCAAAACTATTTCAGTGCTAAGACTGGCCATAGAAGCCTTTGAAAGGAAGATCTGGAGAAATATCCTTCTCCTCAACCATTCCTCTTAGCTAATTTTTATTGCTCTGTCTTCTGCTTGCTGGATCATGGATTTGGCAAAAAGAGGCAGGACTATCCACTGTGGATAATGTGAGCTCCTCTAGGCCACAAAGAACACCAAGACGCAGTGCCTTGTATCCTGGAGTTAGGAATCTGCATGTGGGGAGGTTTGGCCAGATTCAAGCTCTATGTATGTGAAGTAATTTGTTTGGTATTCATATGAGGATATTTGGAGAAGAGTGCTATCACAGAGGTCTGATACTTCAAGACTGTGGTCAAATAATTTGCATAACACAAAATAGCTGTGAAGTGGTCAGTGGCCTGACCTGGTTTCTAGTAGTTCGGGCTGTCTCTCTGCATAGGCAAAAGAGGCAGTAGCCCAGGACAGAAGAGGACAGCAATGCAGCAAATGTTTTCTTGCTGGTTTTGTCTGTCAAAGCTCTGGGAAGCTGGGCTGATTGCTCCTTCTCCATAGCAGTAGAAGCTTTACTTCCAAATTCCCATTACTCTTCCCTTGAGTGGCAAAATTCAATTTTGCCTGAATTCTTGAGAAGCCTTGAGTGATGTACCTGCAATTGTGACAAAACTTAATGTGGCCTAAATAATTGGGCAGCCAAGGTTTGTACTTCTGTGGCTTCTGTGCTCCTAGCAATGCCTGAGCTAGGTATTTTGAAGCTGATTCAGACATGTATATATGAGCTTCAGTCATCTTAGTCGTGTTATCATAATTAAAACTGGGGGAACTGAGCACTCTTGAAAAGGGAAAAAATACTGTAAGCATCTGCTTATGAGTGTTGTCCCTCCAGAACCTGCACCCTGAGATGTGAGAGGGGACTTTGTAAATGACGTTAGTAGTCTGACAGGAGTGTTGGTAAGGGTACAAAATGCATCTCTATTAAGATAGTCTGTATTGTCATCTGCTAGACTAAAAAGTAATGAAGTTGAAACAGGGGCCTTGAGTAGTACAGGCAAACCTGATTTTTCCTTCACGTGGATGGCAGTCTGCCGCCTTCTTGCTCCATCACATAAATTTTGGTATCTGCTTCACCAGGACACTCTCACCCTGAAGGTCCTTATTATTCCGTCCCTGCTGAAGGGCAGTTATACATTCAGGCCATCCCCAAAATAATAGATGCACTGTCCTACATCCTCAGCATGGTGAGACACACAGACCCATATACTGGCCCCACACCAGTGCCTAATCCTACTTGGCTTATTTTTGAAGGGAATCAGGGAGTGCAGAGTAATACAGCCCAGTTTTCTCACTCTAGATGTAAAATGCACATCTGTATTGTGGCTATAAAAGATGATATACAGGTTCTTTCTCTTGAAACCCTGATATGACTTCTAGCTTTTTTTTGTGTAGTACAGAAATTTGGTGAAAGAAGGGGTGGAGAAGCATGCTAGAAGCACATAAATAACATTTTTGTCAAAGAGTATTTCTACAGGCCCCCTAAACATCAGCTTTTGAATGTCTTTTCACACAAACTCAATTTCTGTATTGTTGTTTTCTGAGAGATCTCTTCACAGTGTAATACCAGGCAAGCCATTTCACCTGTAGGCTTAGACGAGGGTATGTTTCAGAGATGGATCTTTTCAGGATTTACTGAAGGCTCTGATGTAACTTCATTGCATGATACAGTGAAATATTATCTACCTTCCATCTCAATGAGTTACATGAGGGCGATTGTATCAGCCAATTTGCTGGGCATGATTTCAGTGCTCAGGTAGATGTGAAGTGAAATTTCAGGCCTTTAGGTTGATCTTCCCGTATGCTGAATTGCCTCTTCAGAGCAGTATGCACTCTAAGTGGCAACTTAGTACTAACAACTTTCAGTGCAAGCCCATGTACTGTATTTTCCCCTTTGACCTTTCCAGATCCCTGCCTCTAATGAGAGATCGTGAGCACAGAATTGCCTATTATTAGCATTTCTTAGTCTCCTATTTCTTAACTAAATTTCTTCTGAGCTTTATGCTACCCAGTCTAACATAAAAATAAACTGCTGAATGTCTGCTGCATGTTTCATGTATGTCTGTGGAACATACAGCCTGCTTGGAGGACCTGGACATGTCCTTCTCATGCCGTGTGGGTTATGGCATGCAAAAATACTGTTTGTAGTAGGATGCTGCATATGTTCAGAAACTGTTGAAAGTCTTTGGAATTCTTATAACTGTTTATTCATTCTTTTGTTTAGGAGTCAGTGACCTGTAAGTGCTCATTATGAAGAGAGATCTGGTTTTCTTGGTGACTCTAATTAGCCTTGCCTTCCTGTCACTGCTAAGGTCTGGATATCCTCAACATATTGCAGAGGAGTCCTGCTCTGTTCAAATTCTTGTTCCAGGCCTCAAAGGTAATGTGGAAGCCTACTCCATCATTCAAATACTAATCCTTTCTTTCTAACAGGCTCATTTACATCACTGACAGTTTATAGCAGAGACAAAGAAGGTGCCTTTCAGTTGTCCTCTTACTTGCCCATTTGTAGCCTCCTTAAAAATGGAGTTTTAAGGTCCGTAAGGTGAACTTAAGTCAGTTAAAATAAACACAGTTCAGAGAATGCATGCCAAAGTTTCCCATACTTGCTCCTGATCAGGAGCCTGTTACTCTGACACACTGCCTGGTTGCTGTCTCTGTGTTTGTATTCGTGAGTGGTACTCATGCCCAAAGACTTTAAAATCAGGCCCTACTTTATACTTGGAAAGGTTCTCATTGCTATTTTGCAGTATAATGAGAATATGCTTATCTTCGCTTGATTTTTAAATACTGAAGTGCCTTTAGAAGAAATAGAAAATCAGTTAGGTTTTTGGCATTTCTATAGTGTCTGTGGACAAAAGCAACTTTTTAAAGAAATATGTGCCCAAACTATTGCCCCAATATATTATTATTATGATAAAAAACTGCACAACTAACCTTCAATTTTTTCTGGTAGTTTCAGATTGTAATATCACAAAACTCACCTAGCAATATTGGTGCCACTAATGTTATCTAGTACAAATGTAAGCTTTACCCTGGCCTGGGGGCCATAGTATAGACTGCAGATGCTGTCTGTGCTGGTTAATTGGTTGGTGAGGGCAAGGCCCATAGAATCACAGAATAGTTAGGGTTGGAAAGGACCTTAAGATCATCTAGTTCCAACCCCCCTGCCATGAGCATGGATACCTCACACTAGACCATGTCACCCAAGACTCTGTCCAACCTGGCCTTGAGCAGTTCTGTCCTGCAATTGTTCATACAGTTAAATTGTGAGCACAGCCTGGCCACAGGCTTGGTTGTGGTGTAAACTGCCCTTGTCAGATCTTGCCTTGTTTTAATATGGTTGTGCTGTGTTGGAACCAAAAGAATTGGGCTGTTGTGCTTGGCCAGTTAGCTTCAGGAACAAAAAAGCTCTCATTTTGCTTATTATTGATGCAGTTTTGGATGTCTGAACTGAACTGAAATCTGTATTTTTTTATTTTACTTCAGTAAGCAGCCTTTAAAGTCTCAATATTTTCACCTTCAGCAGATGTTCTAGTTAGAAAGAACAATACAATAGCCAAGTCTCCTGAGGTTTGACTAAGCCTTGAGTAAAGTTGTTTCACTTGTTTGATATATTTTTGGTGAAATAGGCATAAGATAGTGCTGTTGATGCAAGTCACAGAGAAGAACACAATCAAATTAAATATATGTTGTCGAAAATTACAGGGAAGATCAGTGAAAGGGTTAGACTCCGCAGCACTGGGGACTGAAGCTTTGAAATGATTTTTCATTTCAAAGAAGTTGAGGCTTTCACAAGTTTTCTTACTGCTTTAGTTTCCTTATTTGTGTAATCAGTCAAAATTAACACCTGTGAGTACCATTTCAATGTGAGGACCGTTATTACTATTATATGAAGCAGAGTTTTCTAAAGCACATAAACCGTGCAGGATCCTGGCCCTTTGTAGAAGGCAGTCCTGAGCCAGGAAACAACAGAGAGGCCTGAAAACCTTCATGTGTTAATGATTTCACTTTGCTTCATGAGCTGTAAGCCTCGCAAAAGTGAGAGATTGATGTACAAATTCAGTGAAGCACAAAATGGCCTGATACAACTCTAGTTAATGTGACCCCCCTAAAAAGCTATCAGTGTTCCAGCTACACTGCCAGGGGGACTGGCTCTGAAATTGGTAATGAGATGATGCTGTCCCCTCTGGAACAACTCCAACCCATTTTGGTGGCCAAGGCTTCCTTTAAGCTGAGCATATACGTGGCTGTGCGCCCAAATTTTGGCTCCCATGCAGTGGGGTTTGCTCACTGCAGCTTTTAGATCTGCCCCATCTCCTCCTCTGCTGGACTGCCAACACCATCTCCTATGATGGAGGAGCAGAACCCTGCACTGCGGTTGGGCACCAGCCTGCCGGGATTTGGGAAAAATAGGTACAGGGAAGAAGTGGAAGAAGTGAGGCAGACTGTTGGATGAGTGAAGGGAAGAAACAGGAGAGGGTTCAGCCCAAGAGGTGGTGAGAAAGTGGAACCCAAATAGGGGTTGGTGAAGGAGAAAAGTACACAAAAGTGAGGGAGCATAATGGAGAAATTTTAGAACAGGAAGAGGTAAAGGGAAAAGAGAAAAGAAAGGCACAAAGAACAAGACTGAGTGGAGAGACTGGAAACTAAAAAATAAAATACGATTAAGAAAAGAGGAATAAGAAAATGCCACAAAGCCAATTAGGACCCCACAGAATAAAGAGGTGAATCTGAAGGGGGATGAGATGAGAATGGAGGTGGAAATGGAAGATGAAGACAGCCAGTAAAGACACCAAGAATAGAAAAAGGCACAAATGAGTTTAAGGTCAGCAGCTTAGGTCTTAGGAACTGGGTTTTTTATTTTATTTTTTTTATAACCTAAACAGTGTAAAGGAGTAAGATGAAATGTGGAAGGGAAAAATACTGTGGCTCTGAGAATCCAGACAGCAGACTAATCCATGTTTTTGAAAGCCGACTTAATAATGGCAAAAGTGTGTTGTGTCTGAAGAAGGGATGGATGATGAAGCCTCACTACATTGCTGCTCATATTCTTCCTGAAGCCTGATTCCTTTTGATAGGCCCATGAGATTGAAGTTACTATTATTGTGGTGAAAAAAATAACATGGAACAATCCTTCAAAGCTTGAATTCTCAGTTTGCCACCTTATTTTGTCTCCCTTCTAGAATCTAAGGCAGGAGTTGTCTTTAATAGTCTCAGTGGCATATAGTACCTACAAGCGTTGATACTACGTAAATAAAATAAACCCATTTTTTTTACACCCACGCTTCATTTGTCTATTCACACAGGGAATATGAGTAATGGAATAAAGTTATCACTAGCCCAGGAATGCTTAATAGATCAGGTAGTTAATATTTGTCGTGCTATTTTCTTTATAGTAGATGGTACAGCTTAAGGTAGGCAAGATGCAGACATAATAAGAAACAAATCCTGTCCCGAAGAATTAACAAAAGGAGGCAAATCGGCAGCAGTGGTAAGATACATAATCTGAAGTATGAAAGATCTCTATCAGAGATAATGGGAGAAGTCTGTGGTAGTGTCAGGGTTGTGCCTGATAGCTGCAGTCCTGCTGCAGTTCAGTTTGGTATCAGGGCTAGATTTCTTCTGGGTGTTTGGGGCATCACAACACTGTGGAGCACTGCTGGGCGCATTATGCCCTGTCTCAGCTGCCTGGGCAAGAGCTGCATTGCGCTAAGGAGGGAAGTACTCTTTCATGCAGAAGGGCTAGAGCAAAGAGCCGTCCTGGAAGGGGGGGAGAGAAGATTAGTGTTAATTGATGATAAATGAAATTGATTTAAATGCCTTGACAGAAATCTGTTCTGTTGCCTGGGACACGTGTACCAACTTTGCTTCTCAGCTTGCATAGTACTCATGGGATGTAAAGCAAAGTTAGGGACTTAAACACAGCAAAGCTGAACTGGACCACTGATCAGTCCTTCTTGGCCAAGGTCTTACTGCTTGAAATAGCAGATAACAAAAAATACATCTGGGCCTGTAATGGGGCTCTCTCTTCCCAGGGAAAGTTTCTTAAACGCCTACACTAAGGAATGCAGTGTCATCTTATTATAGGAATAAATGCAGGCAAGTGTAATGGCCTGAAGCAAGAGTGATCTATTTTATTGATCCCTAATGCACAGCTTTCACTCTGAAGAACATGTAAAGCAATAGGCTGTAATAGTGTGCTCTCAGCCTCCAGAGAGCAGGGAAAAGTCATTGTCAGGATTTATCTTTGGGAAGCAAAGAACTCATAACCAGCCCTGGGGGGGGAAAAGGCAATCATACAAAGCCTATTGGTTACCTGATAATAAAAAAAAGTGACATTCCCAAATGTGCCAAATAATAGCCTGTTTCATACTAACAATATTATCCGCTGGGGATTATGTGGAGTTTGTCCTCATTAAGGTCAAAGAATGGCCTACTTTTGATGTCTGAAGGTAGGTCTGCAGTCGACTGGCAGCCTGAAGAAGGAAAATATAACAGATGGAAGGCCAAGTTCAGCTCACAGCCACCTATGTTTGCAATAAGAAGAGAGAGTGAGCTGGAGGCTGCATATTTGAAATATGCCATGTTGTGGCTTGTTTTTACATCATTTCTATGGTTCATTTCTGAACCACAGCTGCCAGCTATGGCAGAGAGCAGAGCTTGAGGGGTGTATGATAACCATTGAGTTTCCTGCTATAGTGCTCCCTTCAGCTTCCTGGAGAGCAGCTATTGCGCACTCTCCTCTGTAGACACACAGCTTTGGGCATCAGGTGTGCTCTGCTAGCCCTGGCTTTTAGATCCTGGCATTTTCTTGTCTGTGGAAACCGTAGAACTTGCTTCTTTGTATAAATCTTTTTTTGTAAAAGTGACTATGTAAATCATTCTTTAAACTTCTGTCTGTTTGTTTAAGAGATTGTAATTTTATGTCAGTGGCAAACTGTAATAGTAGTACAATAGTAGGGAGTGAAACAAGCTAAGCATCCTCAAATTTCCAATGAAAGGCAACAAGGAGGTGAACATTTACAGAAAGTGTTGTTTAAATATGCTTGATACAGTAATCCGCCATGAGCCGTGTGCATGTCAGTACAATGCATGGTGGTTCATACCACAAAGATTAAAAGGCACAGTATATAACTCTCAGTTATATATGGATTAGGAGATACTCTTTCATGCTAAAAAATGGTCCTCTAAATGAAGGATGCCTTCCTGTAGGTCTTTGTAAATGGCATAAACTTTTTTCTCTATTTTTTCTTTTTTCTTTTTAATTTGATGTTACAGGTAAGCCATTTTCACTTGAGACTTAAGTGTATCTTTAGTAGATAGTTGGGAAGCGTTTGGACCCAGTGCTGACTTGAGTCCTAATTCTGAAGCTTCTGCTTAAGCAAATTGTGCTGTTGGGCTTTTTGGAGGTTGACAGTATGAGTAACATCCACAAAGCTAGCCCCATTGTATGAGACTTCAGTAATGTATTGACTGTGGTTTTGTCAGTGTTTACCCCAGTTTCAGGAGACACTGTTCTCCATGCATCAAGTAAAGCTGTTAAGTCAGAATGCATCTGCTTTTAATTTTTTCCTGTCTTGTTACAGTAGATATTTATGTTCACTGGGGAAAATGACACTTTTGTCACTGCTGCCAACACGGAATAGTCCAGGTTTAATATGATTCATATTTTTGTTTCCTTTTGTACCAACAGGGGAGGCTGGAGAAAAGGGGGAGAAAGGTGCTCCCGGTCGTCCAGGCAGAGTTGGGCCTCCAGGAGAAAAAGGTAACTTTATTAAAGAAGATGTTTTGAAAGTCATTCCTGACCAAATGCTACTTTTTCTTGGAAGGCAGTGATGATGGGGATCCTCTGTCCCTTTGCTAGGTGACTAAATCATGCTTGAGCATTTTCATATACCATTGTGGTGTTTTCACCCCATTGGCAGCTCAGCCCCATGCAGCCACATTGGTTCACTCCCCCCCATCCTGGCCTGGTGGGATAAGGAAGAGAATTGAAAGAGTAGAAGTGAGAAAACTCATGAGTGGGTTGAGATAAGGACAGTTTAATGGGTAAAGCAAATGTCTCATATGAAGGTCTCTGTGAAGAAAGGCATTGTGTCTTCTTCATAAATTTCCTTCTGCAAATGAAAACCTCAGATCAGAGGGAAAGACTCATGGGGCTCGATTTTCTTGTTTCCTTTTGTTGTAAATGTGAGCACTCACAATTACCTGAATTAAAATGCTTGAGGGAAGGCGGTAAGCTATAACAGGCATAGATGACCAGGAGTGGTTCTACATTTTTTGGATGACAGTTCACTAATATTTGTGGAAAGATGATGGTAACCCTGTTTGCATTGTAGTTAAAAAATGTTTTGAGCTCTTGAGAGGACTGTTGCTCAGTAGTAGTCCGTTATACGGTTGAGAGAAATGTGGCATTTCTGTCTTGCAGGAAATTCTTTTGAAATCTAGGTTTTTTTGTTTGTTTGGTTTTGTGGGTTTTGTTGATTGGTTGGTTGGGGGTTTTTTTGTTTGCCTTTTTTTTTTTTTTTTTTCCGGAAGCAAGGAGGAAATAATTTGACCGTCATAAGTTTTCCAGGAGATGCACATTCTGAAGAATTCACGTTAGGGGTAGTCAAAACCTTGCATTTCAATACTGAAATTAAACATTTGACATTCCTGTCATCAGAATGATGGAGTTAGTTTTTAATGAACTGAATATACAAACTTCCTTTCAAAGCAAACACAGAGGTAATTTATACTTCCTTATGATGGTGCATGATCCATTATGTAGTTCTTCTGGGCAATCACAGATGTCTGATACATGCAGTTTTTCCTGGGACCAAAATCCATAGCTAGAGCTCTTCCCCTTACAATGCATTGAAAAATTTGTAACTCCCATGAGGAATGTTTATGTTCAGTCAGTGTATTTCCCTGATGGAGATGTACTCTTCAAGGATTGTTCTTATAAAAAATACTGGAAACTAAAGTTTTAACTCTTGCAAGGTAATGCTGCATTAATGCTTGCATTTAATGCTTGCAAGGTAAAGCAGAAGTGATGTTGAAGTATCACAGAATAATTTAGATCAAAAGGTTATAAACAGCTCGTCTAATCAAATCTGTTGTGTAAACAGGGCAGATTCAATTTTAGATCAGGCTGCTCAGGGTCATGTCCAGTAGACTTTTGAAAATCTCCAAGGATGGAGATTCCATATCCTTTTTGATCGATCTGTTCACCACTGTCCTTGTGAAAGACCTTTTCCTTAAAGCCAACTGAATTTTTTCTTGTAACTTGTGATCATTGCCTCTTGTCCTTTGTATGTGTCTGAGAAGAGAAGGCTTCATCTCTACAGACAACTTGTAGTAGTGCAAGACTGCAATTAGGTTCTCCCTTACCTTTGTCTGCTCCAAAAGACCATCAAAATCTCGGTGTAGAGTTTAGACCTGTGATCCCAGTGCTTAATACATAGCTTGGTGGATAATGAAAGATGGATAAAACTGTTGCCTCATTTTGGGTTTACCTGTTTCTAAGAGCATACATGGATGAACACAGCAGCCCTGTTTCTGTGCTAGTAGCCTGTTAAACTGCAGTTACTGTGTTAACATGTGTTTGACACCCTGTTTTTCTATTGAAGCCTGGTAATTGTTGTATTGTTGGGCTAATATTTGTCTCCTTCTGTTGATGGAAAGTGCTTAACTTCACTGTATTTTTCTGCTAATTGAGTAAGTGATGGTTTACATGAGGGGGGAAACTAACTCTTCTGCAACATTTGTAGAGTTTCCTTCTAGTTTTAATTTACATTATCACAGTAATCTTTTTTTTTTCTTTTTTTTTCCTTCTTCCCCTTTCTTTGTTTCATTTCTGAAGCAAGTTTGTCCTAAGAAAATGTGCTTAGTGTCTTTGAGCTCCTTAGGTACACAATAATCAGTGAATAAATAACTTACTTACAGAAGAAGAGGTTTTCTTATGGTATTGACCTGAAATGAACACCTCAAGATTAGGAAGTGCTGCAAATGTTTTTATTATCTCCTTTCCTCATGATCTTTTCCAATTTTGGTAGCTCTGAAACAGATAAACATTAAAACTTTCTGGTGTTTACCTGAAATATATCTGGTTCTGAGTGTCCTGAGGTTTCAGGGTGACATCAGACATCCTGATGTCTTTGGGAACTGATTAAGGTTAAGTTCCACTTACATTCCTCATTGCTTTTAATTAATTGTATAGGTCAATTATGATGCATAGCATGGCAGCAGAATATAAAACTGTGTTGGCCTTCTGCAAAGCATAGAGCACTGGGGCATGTACAACAGCTAATTCAGATGAAAGCAGCGTGTACTGCAGTGCTGGTTTTGGGGTGTGAAGTTAATAGGTGTAGCTTTCCCCACTTGCACTGATTGCTGCACTGCGTGCTCTCATGTTGGGAAAGAACTCAATTATTTGAGTCATGATCCAATTGTGAGGCCATAACAACTTCCATGTATATAAATTCCACATAAATACTTTAATAACAATACAATCCTGTGAATATTCCCAGAGTAGCATGGATTCTGCTTATGGCAATCAAAAGAAGGGTGAATAGAGGGTGAATTTACTGTTGGCATGCATAATCAAAGGAGCAGCATATTAAAAATGTGTTCTTCAAGATATTTTAATTTTCTTAGAGCCATAACCATTTGAAAATATTTTAGTATTTTATTTTCAGCCTTCATACACCGTACTTCATTTATACTTCATTATAATGGTATGTGAAGCAGGGTTGCATACTGTTCTTAGGGGTGGAACTCAACTGTCTCTACCTTTGTAGTGTTAGCACAGTGATTCTGGCTTTTGCCAGCTAACACTTTTCCAGGCATTTCTTGGGCACATTTTGTAAGATAACACGATGAGCAGCCTGCAAGTGATTATCTTGGCTTGAAGAATAAGACAATTTAATATCATTGAGTGTACCATTCTCAGCCACTTGGTTCATACTGCTAGGAAACCTTCCCAGGCATTTAGTTTACTAGTACAGACATAGCCTCTTAAGTAGGAGAGAATACTCATTAATTTAACTGGATTGGAGCCAGAGTGCTCAGTCATTTGTATAATCAAATTCTAAAGAGAGGTAATAATATCTTAATTTATATTTTAGTATTACTGATTGCTCATTAATATGTAATCAGTCAATCCTTTACATTTCTGAGTCAACTTTTACATGAATTTATTGCTCACTAAGGAGTGCTGCAGGCAGGATTCCATATAAAAGTCCTGACATTGACAGTTCTGGATTCACAAAGTGGGTATCTGTTTCAAACCTGTCTTTCAGTTCCATCTGAACTCAGTAGAATTTTGGGACAATCAGTGTTAAACTGAATGGACAAAAAAATGGCAGATGGGCTTCAGTGTAAATAAATATATAGCCTAGGGAAATTAGGGATGCATAATTTAATCCATACTTACATAATACAAAAAAACCCCAGAATTGTCACTTAAAACTCGAGAACTGCTCTTAAGTCATTAGCAGCAGTCCCAAAGCTAACAAAACACTGCCCATCATCGGAAAAGATAGCAAGGACAAAATAGGAAGCTCATTTTTGTGGCTGATTTGCTCTGTGTAAAAGCCTGACGTGCACCATCTCATGCAATGGGTGTGGTTCTGGCCTCTGTCAGAAAGGATGTAAAAAGTTAGAAAGGGGCACCGGAAATGCAAAAAAGATGAAGGAGCTGCCTCATAAGGAGAAACTGGACAGGTTGAGACTCTTGCATCTGTACAGGATAGTCCGAGAGGGATGTGATCGAGGTTACAGGATCACTAGATCCCATCATACCTGAACTAGGAGGCAGTCACTGAAACTGCTGGGGAGCTGATTCAGCAACTCCATCTGCAGTGGACTGCAGATAGTGGCTGTAGTTGCATGATCTCCATTTATTGCACCTTCTACTGCCACTGTGTGAATCAAAGTCTTGGGCTTAGAGGGACCACTGGTCTGATCAAACTTGGTGTTACGTTGTTAATGTAATTCTGGCGAGGTATGTGTTTTGTAAGGGAAGTTATTTGTATTTGTGTGCGTCTGAATATACAGTCCCCCATTCAGGGATGGATCATGCTATTTCCATTTCTTTTTTTGAATGTGTTTTAAAGTTCTTTAAGCTTTTTCTGCTGCCTTCAGATTGGATTGTGTTTTCTTACTACCTTTAGTTTCCTTTACAAATTTTCTAGCCTTCCTGATTTCTAGTCAGTATGGATTGATAAGTTTCCTTTTTTTATTTTTTTTTTTTTTCCTGTTTGTTATACAAAGCTTGTAGAGCTTCTCTTTGTCAGTAAGATACCTATGTACCTGTCCCACTAGAGTGGGAGATGTGAGGTGTTTATTTCTCCACTGCCTACCAAGGAAACTTGGAGAAATAGCTGAGACTAAACCCCTAACTTTCAGGCTGGCTAATGAAATGAATTTGTCTCAACTACATAAAATGCCACCTAGCATTATACTAGGGGGAAGATTCTGTAATCTTGGTCTATATTTTGCATTCTTTTTCTATGTATCCTTTGCAGATTGCTGTCAAATATGGCACTAAAGTCAAGAGGCCTTTGGTTTGGTACACTTCTACCTTTATTGGTGGATAGTTGTCTGTGATGTCCGCTATGTCAAATCATGAAGAATTTTGTCGTGGTTTAAACCCAGCTGTTAACTCAGAACCATGCAGCCACTCGCTCACTCCCTGCCTCCCCTTCCTCCCCTTGCTTCCAGGGATGTGTAATTGCTAAAAAATGCTTCTATTATATACCTCCCAAAGTACAGGGGTGGTGACCACACTGGGAACGCAAGCCAGATCAATTTCATGATCAATGAGTCTATTGTATTACAAGTCATTACCATAAAGTAGTGAAACAAGAACCTTAGCCCAGGCTCCCAGGTGATAAACACTAACACAGCAAATACCAGCTGTAAGTAAGGTATGACATGCTGAAACTCTGAGATCAAGAGCAACAACTTTGAGAGCCAACAAATCAGCATTGTGACGAGTGACTATTAATCTGAAACAATGAATACTTATCACAAATACAGTTAGACACACTCTGGTCAGATCTGTCGTTATCTCAATCCTTCGTGCCCCACGTTGGGCACCACAATATTCCAGAGATTTAACATAGCGGCATAAGAAGGTAACATGAAAAATATTTTAAATATCAAAAAGTCACTACTGTCATTGTGTAATTACTTTTCAAGTTTTTCCTGAGGTTTTGCAATTACTTACTAAACACAGTTATTATCATAGAAAATGTTCTTAAAGTTTACTCCCATAAGGACACTTTCCACACTCTCATATGTCTCTCAGTTCAACTAACTTCAGCCTAGAGAGCTTTATTATTTCATTTTTGACTCCAAGATCAAGCACATGTTCTACAATGGATATTACTTCTACAATGATAGAATTTCAAATAAAGGTAGCCAACATGTTGACTCGCATTTAAAATATAACCATGCCAATCTAAGTCCATCTGAGCCACTTCAGTCTTAGTAGCTTTATCCACTTGTTGGTTGTTCTGGTGTTCCTCAGTGGCCCAGCGGGTACATGGGCAACTACATGGCATACCTTCACCACTAGGTTCTGCACCCGATAAGATGCAGATAATTCTGCACCTGATACCAACAAGCGATATCTTGCCACAGTGCAGCAGCCCAGATGGATTTACCTCTGCGTTGCCAAAAGAATTGAGAAAAATGCATTGGCAATATCAATTGTGGCATACCACTTGGCTGCCTTTGACTCCAGAAAAACATCTGAGCACCATAGCTGGCAGGATTTGAACCTGCACAGGGAAACCGCAGTGGATTTCTAGTCCATTGCCTTCACCACTTGGCCACAACTACCTGCTGCTAAAAGAATATATCTGATTTGTTGAAGTTTGAGAAGTAAACTCCTGCTCTCTTCACTTTGACACAATTCAGTTCACCTGTGACACGGTGAATTTCTATTTCTGCAGTATTGTCTTTTTGACACTCTCTTTTAAGTACTTTTAAACCTTCTTGTCTGTTCCAATTAATCCTGTCTGAAGAAATTGGCCATACTGTATAGAGATCCCCATTTATAGTGTTGCGCTGAGACAAAGCCTTCACTTTTTCACTGGTTGTGCAGCCCACCATATATCTCTGGTATTTTATTTATTTTATTTATCTCTGGTATTTATTAGGCTGCCAAGAAGATCATTTCGAGTTTCCTTCTCTTCAGTTCCTCCCCAAATCCTTCAAGTCTTCTATAATTGGTTTCAGTGTATACCACCTTCATCTGAAAGATGACAGATGACTTACTTCATATTCTCCATTCAAACTTTCTGTTAGATTTCCAACTTTTGGTCTATGGAGACTTAATTTCCTTCATTGTCCCCATTTCTTTCCAGCTCTGACTTCCTGATTTCATTAAGACTCTTTAGACTGCAGTTTTGACGATCATAGGGCCACTAAAAAGGACTTTACAAAAGGCATTCAAACTTTTGAAACCCTCAAGGCAGATGGATCTCTCTTGAAACCTTGTGATTTATTCTGCAGAAGAAGCAGAATAAGCAGGCCTCTGGAGTAGAAGCAGGGGTTAGTCACTGTAAGAGAAAACCAAATCCAAATAGTTCTTTTAATGAGCACAGGAGGCTTAATGTATGTCTTCATTGTTTGAGATAACACGCTTTTACTTCTGAGTAGATCATGTAGCTTTGACTGGCTGTTACTGAGAAGTAGTTCGTTTTCTGGGCAGTATTTATGAGAAGGAAAGTGAAGATATTTTATATATTAATTTATGCATTAGATTTATTTAATTTCTTTCTAGTGTTTATTTAATTTCAGGTGTAGCAGCCTGAAGAGAGAAAGAATTAAAACATTTGACAGTCTTTTATGGTAATCTCAATTCATAAATATCCAAAGCAAGAAAGGTCACTTTTAAAGCAATACAATAAACTTATTACAAGCTGATACTTTAGAGATTTTTGAGGAAATACCTTCTCACTATACTGCCTGTATTGGATAAGTATCCAGTGGTGGTATCAGTACCTGTATAACCCACACAGCCTGATGGAATGCACCTTTAGGGCAAGCCACGAATCTGTTCTGAATGTGAAGCTATATTCAGAAAGTAGATCTTCAACTGGCAGAGTGGATTACTTCCATTCTTCCAGTAGGAATATATAGCATAAGATAAAAAATATTTGTGTTTTCTGGTAAAATTTCCTAATTGAGTCTGAATTTGATCCTTGTTGGAAAAAAAAGGAAAATTATTGATTTTAGGATTTGCCAGTAATTAATTAGACCAAGAAGTCATACACCTTCATCTTCTCTCACTTCAGAGGAAATGATTTCTTTCTGACTCATACAGTCAAGTGACAGTTGCTTGAGATTTTATGGAGTAATAATCCAGAGGACATCTCTTAGCTCAGTGGTGATCAGTTTATATTCTGAAACTTGTTACTGATTAATTGGTCATAAAATTATCCAGCTTTGAAAATTAGGTAGAGGAAATATGTGACTGTCCAGTTACAGTAACAACAGAGGGCAACAGATCTTGAGTTGTCATAAATCTGTAACTGAGGCTGAGCTGTGACAAATTACACAAGTTCAGTTGCTGTATCCCTATGGTAGATTGTCCTCCTAACTTGTCTCCCCTTGCTCCTGTGTAGCTGAACAGTGTGTAACAGATGTTGCTTTGAGCAAAGACACAACCTTTTCAACAGTTCTTGAAAAAAACTGCTTCAAAATTTCCTTTGGTCTTGGGTTTCTGCAGGATGGGAGCCTTGGAAGGCATTTGGCTTCTTTTCCCTGTAGTTCCTTCATACCTGGTCTCCATTAATACTGTGTGGTACAGTGGGAAATCTATCTCATATGAATGACATAGCTGTACAGCTGTGCTGCCTCCAGACCACATTTCTCCTTGAAATCATGATACAGAGAGGCCTAAATCTGATGGTGGAGCATTGATTTGTTCAGGTGTTGCACTCAGGAAATGTTATCGCCATGTACACTGAAATTATAGAACCAGCAAGGCTGGAAAAGGCCTTCCTGATGCTGCTGGGGCCATAGGAACTGCACCATCAGGCAAACTGTGCCACGTTCACTACACAGTGTGTGCGACAAAACGACAGGTCTCGTTTCATAGGTCTCAAAGTCTACCTAAAACAAATCAGGGAATTCTCTTTAAACCAATGCCAGAACCAAAGTATCATTTCAAAATAATAATCTGGCAAGTTTAGACTATTTAGAGTTTATTGACTAGAAATGGCTTGGTTTAAGCCAAAACCTTCAGTCATGTGTGAACTTGCTCTATTTATTCTATTAGATGAGTAGTGCTTATTACTTTCAACTGTTGATCTCCTGAACTTGGACATGAGCTCTGTAGACATGTGATTGAGTCTTTGCTATTAGAGGCTAAAGTTCTTTTCTCAGATTCACACCATCAAGATACTTATTTTTTGTAATGTTTGAGAATGCCATCTGTGACCTAACAGGGATGTTTTATCTGTTTCATTCTTCAAGCTTTGGAGGAGCTCAGATCAATGAGATCAGTACTTGAATTGTGGCACACATTTTATTAGTAACAGTGCTTCAGCTTGGTTCGTGAAGGCAGTGATGGCAAAGAGACTGCCTGTTCCAGTGCAAATTCTGTTTCCCCTGAAGCCATTCTAATATTCCCTTTACATCACACAGGAAAGTACAACTAATAGAAAAGAGGTCAGAGTTAGACGAAGTAGGTGAATCAACCTGCCTTGCATCAGATTTCTGGGTATGCCTCATGGACACAGATAGGTGTCAGTGGCTGGTTCATGCAGATTTGCTGACAATTTCAGTTGACCTTAAGAGGTGAATAGTTCCCTTTTATTTGCAAGAACACAGCTGAGGAAAATTACTTTTTTAGCAGCTCCTTTGCTACAGTTGTGCTTCGAAGTATTCTGTAGAGCTGTCTTAAACGTTCAGCGTTGCTGGCTTCAGTCAGATTTTCTATGAACATGTGCATGTGTCTGTGTGTATATAAATATTTCCATTAATTTTCATTTTTCAATAATGTCATCTTCAAATGTAAGAGCAAAGAATGAGGCTGTGACTGCTTCCACAGTGTGTATATTGTATAAATAAGCCATTTAGCCCAAATTCAGCCCTCAGTTACAGTGGAGCTACTGTGTTAGATGAAACTGTCACTTGTGTTTGGATCCTTTAGGTCTTCTCAACTCCATAATAGTTTTAATCCACTGATCAGTGTTTGAAGGCACCCCCCATCATTTTCAGTGTGACTCTGGCATGATCATCTGAGAGTTTGCAAAAGCTTTTCCAGTGGATCTGAGCCAAGATCTGTTTTCATTTACACGTACATGCCTTGTTAATGTCAGTTGCTTTGCAAAGATCAAATCACTGTCTAGGTTACTATAAGTAAGTTCTTCACAAGGAGTGAGCTGGACCTCTGGAGTTCAATGAATATTTGGGATATAGTTTGTTTTCACTTATTGTAAAAGCTGATACTGAAGCATGCTGGAATCTGAATGAATTGGTCTAGGTTCCTACCTTGTGTTTGTCATTTTTCTGTTATGTATAGGAGAAATGGGGGACAAAGGACAGAAAGGCAGCATGGGACGGCATGGAAAAATTGGTCCTATTGGTTCAAAAGGTATGCTCAGTTCAATTTTGTTTTCTCCATTTGTGTTTCAGATGAATAATCTAGTCTTATGTTTGAGAAAAGCTTAGGGGCTTGAACAATGGTTCGTGAGTCTCAGAGTTTATCAGCCAGGGAGTTTCTCTGGTGTACTCAGACACATGACTGGTATCTCTCAGCCAGTTACCTTTCCCTCTGAGAGCAGTGTATTTAGCCTTATAGCAGGGTAAGAATCCTGGTTTAAGGTTAAATAAAGAACTTCATGCACTATTGTGCAAGTGTGGCAGTTAAGAGCAGCACATGAGAAGATGCTCTGTGTTTTGACAGACTTTCAAGTGCCAATTCTAATTCTAAATTCTAGTCTTGCCTACCCCATAGGCTTCCTATGTGACTTTGATTAAGTGATTTTGACCAATGTTTACTTAAACATCTAGATTATGAATCTAGACTTAGGCACCGGTGTAACATGTCCAGCCCTGTTCCCTCTACAGCATCTGAGCTTACTGGTTCTGTGAAGTTCATGAATGTCAAAAAATGGATATTGGTACATATTCTTTGTGTTTAAGTTTCATAGCTTTGGCTGGACAGGAAAATTTGTATTTTTGTTTGGGCATATTTCTACTTTTCATATTTGAATGTTACTAGAGAAAAAATAAACCAGTGCTAATGAACTGTTGACCAAAAAAGCTGCTTTAAATTTATATTCTTTTTTATGTCTTTAGGTGAAAAAGGAGACATAGGTGACATAGGACCACCAGGTCCTAATGGTGACCCAGGTAAGCCGTGTAACACCTTGTGTATGTGAAAGATTTTACAAGATGCATGCATCATCACAAAAACACATGCCAGTTTGCATATTGGGGGTGATAACGAATAGCTTTTGAATAGGCACTGTAATATTTCAGTGTAATATTTTCACATTACTTAAAATTATTGAAGCTGCAGTAGTTGCTGGACATGTAGTATATTTGTCAAAACAATGTCTCAGCTCCTCAGAGCTGTGATCACTCCAGAAGACTAGCAGGACCTGAAGTGCAACTGTCCATATCATTCATGACCAGTGCAAAGGGACATCTCTGCATTTCCCACTCTGGCTTGCAGCCAACACAAAGGAGCAAGTGGAAAGCTCCTGCCCTCCACAGATTATTGTTATAGGAGCAGGAGACTGGCAGGAATACAGATCTTTCAGAGAAAAAGGTGAAAGCCTGGCATAAGAAGCGTAAGCCTTACAAAAGTGGCAGATTCAGGTTTTACTCAATTCTTCCCTTCCTGGCAGGAGCACTAGAGGTGCACCAAGTACTTTTCTCATGTGAATATAATTTGTTACTCTAATTCTTGAGCCAGACCGCCATATGCCTAGTCATTAAGCATAGTTTTGCAGTGTAAGTACACTGCTTAGACTGACTTAGATACCTAAGCTGAGTATTTGGGTAGTCAAATGCAGATTTGAATAAATACACAGAGAACTAGATTGATCCTTATTTTGAGATTTGAGTTCATAGCTGTAACGATTATCCTTTTAGCGTTCTCATTCAGATCATCTTTGTCAAACCAATGTAAATTTGGATTAATAGATTGTTATTACTGTAAGGTTTTGGATGTGAAGGTGTTACAACTCTCTTCTTTTTAAAACAGCCAAAGCAAACCAACAAATCAGGAGTCCTACCAATTTTGTAACGTGACTTTATTAAACTGTTCAGAATTGTATAGGAGACACTTAAGTAAACTGTGTTTCAGTGCTGAGAGAGGACAGAGTTCTTATAATTTAGTATTGAAAGAGAGATCCAGCCAGATGGCTGTTTTGGGGTTGGCTAAAGGTAAACGTGAGCTTTCTGCATTCTGAGAATGATTCAGCGCATGAACTATTTAGGCCCCAAATAATTTCTTAAAGTACATGCATTTCACATTTGCATAAGGTGATCTTGGTGCATCCTGTTACAAACCAAGCAGAATACCACTCTCCACAATTTAATGCAGACTTCATAGATAGATAATCTATGTTTTGGTTTGTTTTTTTTTTTGGTTTTTTTTGGTTGGTTGGTTTGTTTTTGCTTTGGTCATTGTTTTAGTGTTTTTTTAGGGAATATCCATCTGTTTTTAGGTTAGCTGTAATCATTCAGGGCTGAGGCTTCATGGGAAATGAACTGAGCTGTTCTGGATAGGCCTAGGCATCTCTGAGAACCATACAATGATGCAGGGTAGTGAAGGTTCTACATTTCTGTCTGCTAGTTGCCAGACAGCTCTTTCCAGAGCTGCCAGGCTGGGCCTTTTTCTATAATTGTTTAGATAATTATTGTGGTTAGCTAGCTTTTTAATTTTGGTGTATCTATGTCTCTTCACAGGCATCCCCTGTGAGTGCAGCCAGCTAAGGAAGGCTATTGGTGAGATGGATATCCAAGTGGCCCAGCTGACAACAGAACTAAAATTCATAAAAAATGGTAGGTTAATTTGATATGAACATTTTCTTTTTTCGTTACCTCATTTTACCGGTGTGATTGCTCGTAGAGAGCGTCACCGTTCCGCACCTGATCTGTGAAGCTATTTTGGGGTGTGCAGTAACTTGGTTTATAGAAATGCGAGTGCTCACTTTTCAGCACTGCCCTCCCCCGCAGCTGTTGCTGGTGTGCGTGAGACAGATAATAAGATATATCTGCTGGTGAAGGAAGAGAAAAGATACAAGGAAGCCCAGCTCTACTGCCATGGAAGAGGAGGGACGCTGAGCATGCCCAAGGATGAGACTGCCAACAATCTGATCGCCTCATACATCAACCAGGCTGGGCTCACCAGAGTTTTCATTGGGATTAACGACTTAGAGAAAGAGGGAAATTTTGTCTATTCTGACCGATCACCCATGCAGACCTTCAACAAATGGCGCAGTGGGGAGCCCAACAATGCCTATGACGAGGAGGACTGTGTGGAGATGGTGGCGTCTGGAGGGTGGAATGATGTTGCGTGTCATATTACCATGTATTTTGTGTGTGAATTTGACAAGGAAAATGTGTAAGCTTGTCTGCTCTTTCTTTATTTCAAGAAAAGATTTTAAGCCGATTGTCCAAGTTACTCCATGTTTATAAAGTACAAATGATATTTTGCAAGTATGTAGCGTCAACGTTGTACAGCTGTAAATACAATTTAGGTATTTCAAATATCAGTATTTACCCTTCAGAAGGGAAGAGCAATGATGAGACATAGCTTGGTTTTTCTGTAGGAAATATATGTATTTAGATAAAAATGTGGTTTGGGGCCAGATTCTGCCGTCACAACAGTTAACGTATGTGACTGGGTGACTGTAAGGGAAGGCGGAATTTGGCCTCTAGTTGTCAGAATGATTATTTCTGAAGAAGTAGATTCCTGATATTCTTTTATCTTAGCAAAATTTGTAGCTATAAATGTTAATTGCTTGTAGTGCTACAGGGATATTTCCGTAACAAGGCAACTATTTTGTATACTCCAGTTAATAACTACAAATATTACTGTAAGGTTTTGGATGTGAAGGTGTCACAACTCTCTTCTTTTTAAAACAGCCAAAGCAAACCAACAAATCAGGAGTCCTACCAATTTTATAACATGACTTTATTAAACTGTTCACAGTTGTATAGGAGACACTTAAGTAAACTGTGTTTCAGTGCTGAGAGAGGACAGAGTTCTTATAATTTAGTATTGAAAGAGAGATCCAGCCAGATGGCTGTTTTGGGGTTGGCTAAAGGTAAATGTGAGATTTTGGTTTTCTGCATTCTGTAACTGAGAATGATTCAGCGCATGAACTATTTAGGCCCCAAATAATTCTTAAAGTACATGCATTTCACATTCGCATAAGGTGATCTTGGTGTATCTTGTTACAAACCAAACAGAATACCACTCTCCACAATTTAATGCAGACTTCATAAATAGATAACGAATTGTCAGATTGTAAGGTTGACCCCCTGAAAAGCAGCAAAAGTTTCCAAGATTTTCCTCACTGTGTATATAGCAGTAATAACTAACTTTGCACAAATGATTTTTGTACCACATTTACAATTGCATGTGATGGGAAAATGTGATGTGCATTAAAATAAAACCCAACAACATAATTTCACAAAGGAAATACTTTGGATCTTCCTAGGAGCCAGTTGCATGACGTCTTATCTTCCTGTCAGGAATAGAAAGATTGCTTCAGAATCTCTGACTGTGTTTCCTCAGCAGTACCTTGCAGAGTGTTTTAAGTTGATTTTTAAGGAGGAACGATCCTTTGTATAACATAGTAATCAAAATACGTATCTGATCATTATCAGAGATTAGTCTACAACATATCCACAGAGGATGTGGCATGTGGTTCCAGAGATTTCCCTGTAGCAAAGCAAGACCAACTCGTATCAACTCTGCAGTGCTGTGGTATATAAATAATGACCACACAATTCTATTCATATCCACAGAATCTGAAAATACTTGATGCAATGCTGTTATTTTATACCTAAGAAAACAAACCATTTTGATTGCTGTATTTGCTCTGTGAATTTGAATCCATTATATATATAATTTTATATATATAATGGATATTATTAATATTATTTTTGAAGATCAGTAGCAAATTCCTCTGTTATTTGAATATCAGCCTGGCTCCAGAGCAGTAGTTCTAAGAAGTGAGCATTCATTTGATTGCTTTTGCTTTCTTTGCTATAAAAGTAGGTATCAGTCCTGTATGTTAGGCATTCTTCCAACTGTATATTGAAATCTATTAAATAATGCGAATATGGTTCTACAATAATATTCAAAGACTCTTTACAGATTTTGCAGGAAGCTAAGAATTTCATGGTATGAGTTGTTTGTTTAGAATAGTGCCTTTTGAATATCATGATTGTTTCCTGCCTGCTGTAGAAATCCTCAGAAGCCATTTAAATCTCCAACATACTTTTGTTGAATCATTGTAGCTGTATTAAAACAGACCACACCTGAATTACAGATACCTGGAGCTCCCTCATTATGTATGTGCTGAAGTTGCTAACTTTATTGTTCACCCAGGTTTTGAAAGTCTCTATTGTAATGTTTGATTTCCTCAGAAACATGAAAAGAGGCCTTTTGAGAAGGTGGGAAGCTTTTTCAGATGCCAAATACTCCCATGTTTATAAAGATTGATTTGACATGTAGAGCATTTAAGCAGTCTCAATTCCTGTTAAAATTTAAGATTAAAAATAAAGGCAATGGAGAAAACATTTATTTCCCCCAGCTCTTGTGTTCTTTGGGATATATTTTTGCAGCTCTTGATACACAAGACAGAAAGGAAATTGTGTTGTCACACTTGCAAGCAGTCCCTATTTCACCATTTGGGCAAGTAGAACAAGGCTATTGTGTAAGATCTTTAGCTCTCTGTCCTGCAAGGAGCAAAGACTGCACGTCTTACATTTACCCATGCAAGGAACTGCGTAAGAAATGATGGAGGGATTGGAAATGAATGAGCCCTTCATTTATTTCACCCTCCGGTTGCTGATCCCCACAAGTGGACGCTTGCTGGGGGCAGAAATCAATGTTGCATGTAGTGCTCAGCCCGGGCAGAGCCTGCTGACATGCATGGTAAGATTTCCACTGCTCTCAGATGAATTGTTTAAAGGGGAAAAAAAAAAAATCAAATGATACTTTAGCTTTACTTGGTGTATTTTCCATGTGTATTAAGACCTGCATTGTAACGTCATTAAGCATGTCGTTTAGCTTTATGGAAACCTTTGGAGCATGTCTGTCTGGCAAACATATGCTGAGGTTTCCCAGGCTGTTCATGCATGCTTTAATTTTGATGGATGATTTTTCCTCATAAATATTTCGCTATAGCCCTTATTTTATTCATAATTAAGAGGCATGTTGCTGCATTTTAAGAAGGCAACAATAACAGATTATTATTTTTTATAATATAGTCACCCTTTCATGCTTTTGAATAACTTCTTCACATAAAATGCATATTTCATTCAACTGTATTCCTCATTTTAGCTTCTAGGGCTATGTTGTTGTGTTACTGATGTCAGGGCCAGATATGCAGCCCCTTTCTAGGAGATGACTTGGCACAGGTAAAGTATTTAGCTGGCTCCAAGGGGAGCTCCACTGTCGGGAAGAGCCTTGCATCCGTGTAGATCTCCTGACAGAGCAGTGGACAATATCCGAGTCTGATAACAACCTGGATTTGCCATTCTGCATCCTGGATCCTTGTTTGAAGGTGCTGCTTCCACCTGCCTTGTTATCCTGCTCAGCTCCTGGTTTACCATCCTTCATGGACCTACTGTTCTCACTGTGCCCTGACAGCTGACATGATTATCCCTGAAAATACAGTTTTGTGACAGGTTGTAGGTTAGCAGCAGAGCTTCTCCCTGGCTGTAAGTGTTAAACTATCTTATGTCAAAGAGAAGAGCTGTAGAAAAGTAGTATTTAAACATGGGATATAGAGCATCCTTATGCATATAATTAAAACTGAGTGCTTTGTTTTTCATAAGCTCAGGAAATGGCAGTTCAAATGTGCATTACAAAATAGGAGCTGGTTGGACTTCTTCTGTTACAGTTTTTGATGAAAATTGAAATAAGGTGAAATTAAAAAAAAAATTGACTGTAAAATATAATGAAGGTCCAGAATGAACAAAGACACTCTGAAGTAGATGCTTTTCAAGATGTTTCTTTTTGGAATTTTTCAGAATTTCATTTCTGGGTTCTGACGCTTCATTTTGACCCGTAACGGGTTTTCATTTTCATATTATTGCCGATGTGTTTTACTCTGTATCAGTAACAGTGTTCAGTATAATACTTGAAATATTTTACTTTAAGGTTTAATTTCTAATAGGAACAAGTTACATTTTGAAGAGTTCTGTTCTGTGGAATTTGGCATCTGAATGGTTTCTCCTTCTGGCACTACTGTGACGCTGTAAACATTCTGAATACAAAGCAATTGATAGTTAAACCAACATTAAGTAAAAGATATTCTTACTGATTATGAAAATGAGTTCTTTAAGTATTATGCCGTATACCTAGCAGTTTATGCACTGTTACAAATGTCCAATCATTAAATAAGATAAAGCATTTTTAAATATGAAAATTGTACAAATATATTTTCATCCTGAATTGAAATGAAAGATATCAAAGTAACCAATTACCATTAAAGTGGAAATTCAGGATTTCGTCTGGGTCTATATCCAGATTTAGCTTTTATGGGAAACTCCGTGGCTTGTGATGCTGGTGGCTGAAGCAAATTCTGGAGAACAAAATTAGCTTCTAATGCAACACTGATTATGTATGACTCTACCCCTCTCACTTTCTGGACTGTCCCCCTTAGCCTTTCTTTTCAAGCATTCTGCTCACTTACCTCTGTGTATAAATGTGTGCATGAGTTTGTCCCAAGGGTCAATTCCTTTTCACTGAGCATTCTGGTTTTCAGTTTTTGGCTTGCCCTGTGGTGCCAGCAGGCCCATGATACTCAACCTGTCTGCCACAGATCACGGACCAAGAGATTTATGATTCTGTGTGGGTTTTTGTCCACCAGGGGCAGCTGGAAATGCTCCATGAAATGAAAGTGTCCATGAAGCCTCCTGTGATGGGAGGGGTATTGTGCAGGACTGGTATCGGCCACTACCTTGAGTGCATTTTCATGGCTGGGGAGAGGCATTCCAGCCTACCAAGAGAAGAGCTGACCTTGTTACTGTGGTTAAAAAGAAACCAGAGACTTAAGACTTAGGGTAAAAACTGTGCAGTGGAGGGTTTTGACTATTTACTTTACAGAGTAGCTGAAAGGAAGAACAGTTTATTTTTAATTTTGCTGTGTTAGGAGAGTACAAACTATGTGAATTGGGAGAGAAGGGGTTTGTGGAGAGGGTGATAGCTGTGTGCTCAAGGTGGTTTTCTGGATGCATGTCTCATCCCAGTCAGGAGCTTTTCAATTGGATGAGGAGGGGAGTCCTCTCCAGAGGGAGAGCATGAAATGGAAAAGGTGGGAGAAGTACTCAGTGGATGTGCAGAACCAGCAGTGAGTTGGATGCCCATGAGGCAGAATGTAAATGTTACCTCCAGCCATTCTCCTGCTTCCTGCTAGGGAAATGTAATTATCTTGCCCTTTCTGTCAATATGTCTCACTACAGCTCTGGATGGGTAGCTACAAAAATAGAGGAAGGTGACCAATTTAGCGTAATGTCTTTATATAAATAAAGCCCAATTTGAGTCTATGGCCGAATAATAGCATCCACTACTCTTTGGGTATATTAATGTATGAAATCACTGGGGATGTAATTATGCACTGCTATTCAAAGGCTAGCTATGTAGTATTGATGAGTTTCTGTATATTCCTTACATGTAAAAGTGTGAAAACTGCCAAGAATTCAGCAGCAGAATGGCTGGTGTGCAGCTGAACCATACGTGTGTTACCATACTATCATCTAGTGGCAGTAAGAGGCAAAATGAATGAGCTGAGCAGTAGTTGCTTTTGCTTGTTTCGGAGTCACCATGTTATTGAGTGCAACTGCTGATATGGTATTGAACAAATGATTTCTCATTTCTGAAGTCAGCTTTTTTCTCTTGTTTGTGAAAAAATTATTTTGATTTATAACAAAGAAATATGCACTGATTTTAAGTCCAACGCCCAGTTGAGAGTTTTGACTAAGAAGTGAGAAGTGTGCCCAAATGAGTTCAATTATCATGCCTTGGAGTTAAGAAAAAGAAAACAAGTCAAGCTGTGCTCTGCAGGCCAGCATCTGAATTGCAGGTGCAGATCTTCACCTGGCATCAGTCAGCTTCAGTGAAGCCAAATTGATTTATACCTGCTGAGGATTTGGCATAGTATCTTCGTAAATTCTAGATATATGCTTATTTCAGAAAGAAAGAGAAGTATTTTGATGTTCATCATTCATTCCGACCACTGTTATTCAAAGTCTGATCCAGTGTAATGGATACATCTCTCATGCAAATTTCTGGGCTATAATCAGCTATGACACAAATATTGAACATAAAATAGCTGACAGAGATGTATAGGGTGAAACTTTACCCTTGTGCACAAACGGTACGATGTGGAACACAAGGAAGCAGTAAAAGCATTCAACATAAAGAGTAAGTCCTCTATCATTTTATATTCTTCTATGAAAATTAAACCTTTGCTTTTGGCCTTACTCAACATTAATGCATAGGAGTAGATGGGTGACATCTAGTGAAGAAAAGATTTGTTGCGTATCTAGAGAGCCATAAATCCAACTCTGTTCCTGCTTCATTCCTTAGCATGATCAGAATAATGACAGACAGACATTCTACAAGAGGGAACTTGAACAATATGTACAGTTCACTGTTGCTGTAGCACATACTGAAATAAAAGTATAAAAATGCAAAATCCTCATTACAAAGTGCCCTGCACATACGTGTATCAGCTTGCTTTATTTAATCCCATTCTCTGCTTCTTCCACAACATCACTTCCCTCCTGCTCCAGATAAAAAAAATCTAATATAGTAAGTTGTGACTTATTTAGGTAAAGTTCAGTATCTCTCCTAAATACCCCCAACTGGATTAGCAGAAAAGTTTATAGTTGACCTTGATGTAGGCAATTACTTTTTCATACTGATTTTTGGCTATATCTTACCATTCAGAAGCTTTTGAAAGTGGAAGATAAACTCTGGATCCCGTAACCTTGCACTGCAAGAGCATAAATGCATTACAGCTGATGTGTTGACACCATGCCTAACAGTTGGTGATAACACCTTTATTTAAAAAGTACTCTTTGAAACTATTGTTCTGATCTCCACAGAGTCCTCAGTTTTCTTCTTAAAGCTTGTTTTCTTTTTGCATCTCGTCAGACCCAAAATGAAGTTAATTATGTATTATATATATATAAATTATTATATATTCCATACTGTCTAATCTTGGAAATTGATTTACTGGTGCAGTTGTTTTGAATCATAAGCAATTTAAGATGGATTCTTTGAAAATATAATTTATACTATTAACTAAGACAACTCTCCTTTAGGTCTAGACCACTTTTGCTTCAGAGTAAATAGAAGATCAACAGATGTAACCCATGAGACAAATCTGCTTCATGATTTTAAATGAAACTGAAATGGGCTGGTTGCTAACAGACAAGAAGTCAGTGTCCCTTAATCTTATAGTCCAGATAAAGGAGGGCCTGGGCTTGCTGACACCAGGCTGTACTGTGGCATGCCTGCTGTTAGCTGACAACAGGGATACGTGCCCTGATGCTTTGTGGGCCTT